TATCGTCGGTTCATTGAAGGATTTTCTAAGATAGTAGTGCCTCTGACCCAGCTGACAAGGAAGGAGCAGCCGTTCATCTGGACGGACGCCTGTGAGCGGAGTTTTGTAGAGTTGAAAAGGAGGTTGACTACTTCTCCTGTGTTGGTGTTGCTGGATTCTGGTGAGCCCTTTGATGTGTATTGTGATGCTTCTCACCAAGGTCTTGGGTGTGTGCTGATGCAACACGGGAAAGAGGTGGCCTATGCTTCAAGGCAACTGAAGAACCACGAAAGGAATTATCCCACTCATGACTTGGAGTTGGCAGCTGTTGTTTTTGCCTTGAAGATATGGCGACACTATTTGTATGGTGCTCGGTTCAGCGTCTTTAGTGATCATAAGAGTCTGAAGTATCTGTTTGATCAGAAGGAGCTGAACATGAGGCAGAGACGGTGGATGGAGTTTCTGAAGGACTATGACTTCCAGTTGATGTACCATCCTGGTAAGGCCAATGTTGTGGCGGACGCGCTGGGTAGGAAATCCATCCACATGTCGAGTATGATGGTGAGGGAGTTGGAACTAATTGAGGAATTCAGAGATTTGAACCTCAATGTGGAGTTAGCTCAGGATCACATTAGTTGTGGGACGGTCACCATAACTAATGAGTTCTTGAGGCAGGTTGGACTTAAGCAGTTACAAAATGTTGAGTTGGTGAAGCTTCTTGGTTTGTTGGGTACCGAGAAGGTTGTTGGCTTCGAACGGGGAGAAGATGGAATCTTGAGGTTCAAGGGCAGAGTCTGCCTACCTCAGAATGCTGAGCTGAAGAAAGCTGTGTTGGAGGAAGGCCACAAGAGTAGACTTAGCATACATCCGGGTATGACTAAGATGTACCAGGACCTCAGGAGGACTTTCTGGTGGCCTGACATGAAGAGGGAGATAACTGAGTATGTGGCGGCCTGTCTGACCTGTTAGAAGGCAAAGGTCGAGCATCAGAAGCCGAGTGGGTTGATGCAGCAGATTGAGATTCCAGAGTGGAAGTGGGATAGCATTACTATGGATTTCATTGTGGGGTTGCCTAGGTCAGCTAGGAATAGTGATGCTATCTGGGTGATTATAGACCGGTTGACCAAGTGTGCACATTTCTTGCCTGTCAACATCAAGTGGTCCTTGGAGAAGCTAACGCAGTTGTATGTGAAGGAAATAGTACGGCTGCATGGGGTGCCTTCTAGTATTATTTCCGACAGAGATCCAAGGTTCACTTCCAGATTTTGGCAGAGTCTACACCAAGCCTTAGGCACGAAGTTGAAGCTGAGTTTTGCTTATCATCCGCAGACGGATGGTCAGTTAGAAAGGACAATCCAGTCCTTGGAGGATCTGCTTAGGGCTTGTGTGTTAGACCATTTGGGTAGCTGGGAGGAGGTCCTACCATTGGTTGAGTTCACCTACAACAACAGTTTTCATGCAAGCATTGGGATGGCACCATTTGAAGCGTTGTATGGCAGAAGATGTAGGACTTCTCTGTGCTGGTATCAGGATGGTGAGTCAGTGGTGGTAGGTCCGGAGCTAATCCTACAGACTACTGAGAAAGTGAAGATGATTCAGGAAAGGATGAAGACTGCTCAGAGTAGGCAGAAGTCGTATGCTGACAAGAGGCGGAAGCCTTTGGAGTTTGTCGAAGGGGAGCATGTGTTTCTGAAGGTGACTCCGACTTCTGGTGTGGGTAGAGCACTAAAGGCAAGGAAGTTGACACCGAGGTTCGTGGGTCCCTATCAGATCATACAGCGTGTGGGTCCGGTTGCTTATCGGTTGGCCTTGCCACCGTCTCTTTCAAACCTACACAATGTGTTTCATGTCTCCCAGCTAAGAAAGTACGTCCATGACCCGAGTCATGTGGTGGAGCTAGATGATGTACAGGTGAAGGAGAACCTGACTTTTGAGAAATTGTCAGTAGCTGTAATTGATCGTAAACTGAAGGAGCTGAGGGGCAAGTCTATTGCTCTGGTAAAAGTATTGTGGGATGCAGCTACCGGTGAGGCTACTTGGGAGGTGGAGCAGCAGTTCAGGGAGCGGTATCTGTTTCTTTTCCCAAGTAAGTCTGTTTTCGGGGACAAAAACTCTTGTTGTTGGGGAGGTTGTGAAACTCTTTCCTTTTCTTTTCTTCCCCAAACCCTACCTTCACTCACTTTGGCTGATTCACCTTCTTCTTCTCAACTCACTCTCACTCTCTTCTTTTCCTTGTTGCTGATTAATCTTCCTTGTGGTGGCCTTGGTTTTTGAAAGTGCTGATCAAGCTTAGGGCAGAGCTAGCTGAAGTTGTCTCTCTTCTCCGTTCGTTTTCAAACTCCTTCTTCTTCCCTTCGTCCTCCATTTCCCGGAAGCTCGGATTCTTTCCCCGAGGTAAGGGAAGCTAGTTTTGTTGTTGGAATAGGTTGAGAATGAGTTTTTGCAAACTCATTAGCAGTTGATGTTGGTTGATTTTGGCTGAGTTTTGGTAGAATGTGGTTTTCTTGAAGTCTTGAGGTTCTTGATGAAAATTTGGGGTCTTCTTTAATTTTGATTGCATGTTGAAAAAGATGGTGTTTTTGAGATGTTTGATGAAAATGTGGTAGTTTGATTGAGTTGCATGTGGAGTTTCTGAAGTTTCTTGCAGGTTTTGGACTGAATTTTTGAACTTGGTGCGCTGTTGCTTGGCTTCGCGCTGAGCGCAGTTCTTCGCGCCGGGCGCGTGGCCACCAGGGGACTCCATTTAGGCAAGCCGCCGGGCGCGAGGTTGGATGCGCCAGGCATGCTTGAGAATGTGGGTCTCTGGATGGTCCGCGCTGGGCGTGACTTGGACCTCGCTGGGCGCGATACCAGTTGTGGCAAACTTTGGGGCTTTTGGGTGTGCGCTAAGCGCGACCCTCGTCGCGCTGGGCGTGGGACTCCTTGGGGGTCTCTGCCTTGAGGGCGCTGGGCGCAATTTGAATTGCGCTGGGCGCGAGACCAAGGGGGGGGTCTCTGCCTTCCCCGAGCTGGACGCGGGTTTGGGCACGCCGGGCGCATAAGACTCCTTGGAATCTCTGCCTGGCATGCGCTGGGCGCAATTTGGTATTGCGCTAGGTGCGTGTGAGCCTTGGGCTCTCTAGATAAGTCCCGCCGGGCGCGGGCATGTTTGCACTGGGCGCGCTAGCCCTGGTGCTCTCTGGTTGCATCACGCTGGGCGCAACCACGAGTGCGCCGGGCGCGGAGATGTGATTTCACAAATGGATGTTAGAGGTTCTTTATGTTGAGTTCAAGTCGAAGTTGTTGATTATAATGAGATGACTTGTGGTTAACGTTGTAAGTTGATATGTTGAGTTGTATCAGTTGTATATTGTTGTAAGTTGATATGTTGAGCTGTAAAGTTGTGTTGTGTTGTATGTTGATATTTGATGATGTAGGCCGCAAGGCTAAGTTGTTGTAGGCCGCAAGGCTGAGTTGTTGTAGGTCGCAAGGTTGAGTTGTTATAGGCCGAAAGACTGAGTTGTTGTAGGAGATCTCCGAGATGATATGCGTGACGACGCATTGTATGCTTATTGATGATTATGCTGTAAAATCGACGGGATGTATGTTGATGAAGTGTTGATAGTTGTAGTTGTTCATATTACTTAAATCTTCCTATATGTTGTTCATTTTATGATAGCTTATCCTTTTGTTGTTTCCATGTGGATGGATTGCGATGATCATACTATGTATGGGAGCAGGACAGGGATAGGTGATGGCTAGTGGTGAGTTTGCGGCTGGCAGGCGGAGCTGGCTCCTTTTGATGTCTTGTTTGTTTCAGCTACTTGGTATAGTGGCTTTGGATGTATTTTTGTATTGTACACCCTAACTCTAGTCGGATTGGGACATTTGTATATATTTATATTCTAGATCCTATATTTATATACTCGTTCTATTCTTTCTAGTGTTTCCGGTGCGCTGTAGTTGTGAGTGTAGTGGCCAGCCGGGTCGTTACAGGACCCACCGACAGAATTGGAAAGAGCTACACAAATCAACCTATGTAATGGATCTATCGGTAACACATGCAAAATTAAGGGGCAAAGACACTTCCATTTTAAGTCATTCCCAATTCAAAACATATCATATCAACCTCTTAACCCACCAGTTACCAGGCAATGTTATCTAAACTACCAAGCCGCAAGGTCAGTGTGACTAGCTCTAAAATAAACAGATCATATTCACATAAACCTTAAGCTAACTAGAATGCATGATGCACCTCAAACCAAATCAGAAGATTAATATTAAAACCGCACATGAAAAACAGAAAGCAGTACAATGTTCAAAGATCATTGAATCAACTTCTTAGCACTAAAGACAAGAGTATAAGAAACTAAAACCAAATGAATCTACCCTGCCATCAACCAACTAGCACAGGCTTAAACACATGGATCCAACAATGAAGGTATATCCAGAACCAAGAAAGAAGGATTAAGTAAATAGTGAGCGAAAAGTCACAGTTTGTGAATTATAACTTAGATATTCTAATAACATAATTGTAAAATAACTTATTAAAGACACTCATAACCTTTTCGATTGCAGGTAAAATTATATCATTTAAATTTTGTGTAAAAACGATATTTAATTTTAACAATGCTCTGTATAAATTTAACTGCATCTGCATATATGTACCACAAATGGATTCAAAGGAGACATCCTGTCAAACATCTTAAGCCCCAAGGAAAGAGAACAAGTAACTAACTAACTCATAACTGACCCTGTAACAAACTCTCCTTCCTTACACACAAGATTTAACATGTTCACAAACTTGGCATTTTATCAAACACTTAATATGCAACTAACATTGCGTTAAATTAATGAGCCAAAGCAACATACAGAAATCATAAAATTTACAATGGCATCAAACTCAGATTTACAAAAATTTAAATTTCATTTCCACACGGAGCAATATGCGAGTGAATACAGGATCAGATAATAAATTAAAAATTTATCTGATTCTGATATCTCTATAATTTATACAAAAGCATAAAGCAAAAAGGGGTTACCAATCAATCCTTTCCTGAGAGGAAAGAGCCAGATCCTGATATCTCTGTCTTTTGATTCCACTGCAAAAAGAACAAAATCTAAGTCTATGCTTTTTATCCTTTGTAATTTTTTTTATTATTTTATTTTATTTCAGTGTTGTTGAGGAGAGTGAATGGGTGACTGTGAGAATGCTTGATTGAATTTGAGGAAATATCTCTCAGATGAGAAGAGAAACGGGGCTAAAACAAGAGTGAGGTTCCACCTGTAAACTCAAGAAATCTATACCTATCTCGGGATTCTATGATGGAATTCTATGTTTAGGTATTATGCAGACAATTTTAACATTTAAAAATGAGGACAGCTATTTTCTCCAAATATAAGATGAAACATTGTCCAAAATTTTAAAATATTAATACTTTTTAACAAATTTATTATTAAATAATTATTTTATTTAATGTTTTATAATTTAAATTAATTTTTTAAACATTCAGAATACATTTCGGACTATTTTATCCGAAGATGTAGAATTTTTCTTTAAAAATTGCACGATCATATTTGGGAAATTTTTATAACCTTTTTTGAGAATCCTCACGTGAGTTGATATTCACTTTTTTTTATCTTATAATTTATTTTTCACATACTACCTTTTTTTATAATTTTAATTTATTTATATATTAAAATTTATTCTTGTTTATTATTTAAATTTTTTTATGCTTGAAAAAGTGCATAGTTATTAATGTAAGAGTGTATTAGATTGAGATTTTGAAAGAAAATTTTAATATAATTTTTTTTTGTGAATTTTCATAAATTTTAAAAGATTTTATAAAAATATCTTAATTTTTAGAATTTTTTTTAAAGATTTTTAAAACTTCAATTTTAATTAAGACTTTATAATCCAAATTTTAATGGATTTACATTATAAGATTTTAAATGATTTTATGAATTTCACAGAAAAATATTAATTTGTAATATTACAATATTTAATAAAAAAAATATAGCATAAATAATAAAGAAAAATAAAACTAACATAATTTTTCTATTTTTTTTTGACAAATAATTGTCTTTTATACAAATAATTGACTCTAATATTTCTTAATTAACATTCTTCACATATCTAAAGTTATAGTAATCCTTTATATATTGACACATTCTCTTTCATGCTAAGTTCGAACAATATGTTTAAAAATTATTATCTTTATTAATTAATAATATTAAAGATAAAGATTCATCCACTAATTTAATTAAAAATTCATCTGAACGATATTTTTTTGCAAAGTTATGTAGTGTTGCATGTTAATATAAGTTTAATTTGTATCTTAAATAAAAATAGAGGTTCTAACTTAAAAATTGTGAAATGTGATTTAAAAATACTAAATATCCTATAAATTACATTTTTTAAGGATGTATGGCGTAAATTAAAAATTTTACTTTTATTTTGTGAGTCATTATTATGACTTGCAAAGTCTTTTTAATATGTGTTTCAAAATTGTATATTTCAACATTAAATTTTATTAAAAACAAATAGTTAAATTTTAATACTTAAAGAATATTGATAAATTATACATCAACTGATAGATAAAAAATAAAAAAAATAAAAAAAGATAGGACGAGAAGAAGAGATAAATGAGAAAGATGAATAAAAAGAGATAAAAAGAAGAAAGAGAAAAAGAGAAGCAAGAAGAGAGAGAGAGAGAGAGAGAGAGAGAGAAAGAGAGAGAAGAGAGAGAAAAATATGAAAAGAATTAAAAAGAAAAGAAAAAAAAAGAAGAGACAAATGAGAGATGAATAAAAAAAATGAGATAGAGAAAAAAGAGAGAGAGAGAGAAGAGGGAATAGCGGGAGAGAAAATATTTAAGAAAAAAAAAAAGAAGAAAAAAAGAGTATAAATAGAAAGAAAAAAAAGTCATGAAAAATCTTAAAGGTTTTGGTGAGATTGTTTATGAATAAATTGCATGTAAATGACATTAAAAAGTCTTACAAAATTCAGTATTCAAAATAATTTATTGAAATTTTTAGATTTTTGAATATCAACGGACTTTTTCTAAGTAAAAAAAAATTCTTAATTGAATACCACCAAAATTTTGATAGATGGCTAAAATATGTTTTGAATATCACTAAATTTTGACAAACTCTTAAAAAAATCTTGATTATCTTAATTGAATACCACAACTTTTTTATATTAAAAAAAGTCTTGATTGAATACCACAAGACTTTTTTATCATAAAAAATATTTTTTAAAATCTATTGAAATCCTAATTCAATATACCCGATATATTTATGCTTTGGACTTTATTATATTGTGACATAGTAAAAATATAAAAGGAATGTCATTTACTATTAGATTATACAAAGACACAAGTGATTAATTATTTTCATCTAAAAATTTTATTAATGATATTGATGACTCACAATTAAGTTCAAGAAATTTAAATAACTTTAAATGTATTAATTAAGGATGCGACTTTATAGTCTAAACAATATATATTTTTCTTTTTGCATATATTAGAACTACCAAAAGAACAATTATATAATCTTTATAAAACTATATTTTTGTTTGCATAAATAAAAAATAATTTGAAAAGAATTGTTTAAATAAAAACTCAGAAAAGAAAAAATATAATAATAATAATAAAGAGGGAATTTATTAATGAACAAAGGAGAAAAATCATCCACATTATTAAAAACTTATTATTTTTTATCTGGATAATTTGATAGTTTTATATATAATTTAAGAATTTAAATAAAATTAACATTAAAGGAAATCTTTACTTTGTAAAAACTAGAGTTCAATGCAGTTTTTCCTGATAATTAAAGTTAAAAAAAGATTTTGATATAAATTTATTTTTATAATCCTTTAATAATTGCTCACTAACTTTTAGTATATTATATATATATATATATATATATATATATATATATTTAAAATAAAGGTTGGAAATACTTTTTTGTCAATAGTTGTTAATAAGAACAATTCAATGCTTTTATAATCGTCTTTAATATCCATTTTTATATAGATATATTTTATCATATTTAATATGTTCACATTAGATTAAAAAAATAATATTTATCTACACAAAAGTGTCTTTCTAGACTCAGTACAATAGAATATTATGGGTATAAATATTTTATAATATTTTGTATATTTTAAATTAAATTATATTTTTAATCTTTTAATTATTTTGAGATTTTCACTAATATTTTAATTTGTGAAATGCATAGACAAAATATTTATTATATATAATTAAAATTTATAATAAATTATATATATAAATAAATATTATGTTTGAGACAAAATCAAAATTTAGGGACTCGGGTGCTAGAAAAAATCTTTCAAGGACCAAATTGAGTGTTTACTCTATAAATTATATAGTAAAACAATATTATTTTTATTTATTAATAATTTATTTTAAAAATTTTAAAATTTAATTTATAAATAATTATGATAAATAAAAATTAATTTAGATAAAAAGAAGTAAAAAAAAAAACTCTAAAATCTCTCTCATTGAAGAAAAATAGTGAAATACGCAAGATAAAGATTCGTATTTTAATCCTTAACTTTTAAAATGTTGATTTTAGTTATTTGTCTTCTAAATTTTGATTAATTTGGTTCTTCTGAAACAATAATTATTTTCAATTTGAGACATAAATTTTTGAAATTTCTCATTAAATTTACTTATATAAAAACAATTAAACGTAACTAAAATTCAAATAAAAGAGTGTCAGACCACTAGGGTTGGGTGGGGAGGGGTTGAGTAGTTAGAAGCATGAGGAACTAGGTTCAATCCTCATTGCGAAATCTTTCCTATCTTTATCAAAAAAAAAAAAAAAAACAAAAGAGTGTCATCAATAAAGTGAAAATTGCATAAAACTAATTCTAAAATATAATTAAAATTTTCAAAAAATATAATTTTATATTATCTTTTAGTTAATTATGGTATATATATTTCATATAATTTTTACTGTATTTATAGTCTTTTTAGATTTATATGTCAATTGAATTTTATTATTTTATGTTTTGATATCAATAAAAAAAATGGTTCAAAATATGTTGTAAAATTAAAAATCATCATTGTTATAAAAGGAATAAATTTATTTAAATATAAAAGATAAAAATCAAAATTAACATTAAAATAGATAAAGAACTAAAATGAATTTAAAATATAAGATAAAGAATCAAAATTATAATTAAATTTTTATTTTATAAAATTATTTATTTTTTGTCAAAACAAATTATTTATTTTTATTATCAAAATAATAATTTATTATTATATATTTATTTTATTTTATTATAGTATTGTGTTTTATTAGACTATTACTATACTATTACTGTTGTAATACTTTTTTTTATTTTATCTTTCTATGATTATAATATTAATTCAATGCTATTTTTCTTATATTTTACTAGTGTTATTTTTATTTATTTCACTTTTCACATATGTTTGAAGATTATAAAATTAAATAATATAATTTTTATATTATAAAAAATTGTTATTATTATTTTAAATATTTATGATATTTGAAATATCTATGATAATGTTATTGTACTGGTATTAAGAGATACATAGTTTTGTAAAAGATTATTTGAGTCTTAATTAATCTTAAGTTAAATTTAATTAGTGAAATTTTAATATATTAAATGCGAATGATTATCTTATTCAAGAACATTTTATAAGGGATTATACTTCGACAAGAGAACTTTTAGAGTTTTTTTCAAATTTCTTGCCAAATTCAATTTTTTATTTATCTATTATTTATAAATTAAAATTTAATATTTTTAAAATAAATTATCAATAATTAAAAATAATATTGAGTCATAATATAAATGATTTATTTTAAATAAAAAATATAATTCTTAAGTTTAAAATTATTTATTTATATAATTTTTAAATATACTTTTATATGTTTTAATATAATATTTATTTATATATATAATTTATTATAAAATATAGTTATGTATACCTATTATAAAAGAGACATATTTAGATAATTATTCTTTTGATCTTCACTTTTTAGTAGACCATTATACTCTATGGATGTAAAAAAATATTTTTATATTTTCTCTAAATAATTATTCATAACTTTAAATATTCTATCTCTTTAGTATATAATAAACATTTAACTTGTCAAATTGAAAAACTAAAATATTAATTATACAATAAAAGCAGGAGTGAGCATCGGTAACCCGAAGCGTATGATTCAACGGTAGGGGTTGATCCACGCTTAAGCACTGCTGTCGGCGAGGAGATTAGTCACTGCTGTCGGCGGGACGAACCAAAAAAAAGGAGTGAGCATCGGTTGTTACAAACAGTTTTCGATGGAAAAATTCAAAACCAAGACCATGCATTTGACTCAAAACAGAAACTGTTTTCATTCTTTTATATTCGCAAGTGAGTTGGGTGTGAAATGAAGATATTTGGTGCCTTTATATAAGGAGAAGAAAAATGAATGTAAAACATGTGTGAGAAAGAGAACAAATAAGGAAACACTTGATTTTGAATGTACAAGAGAGTTGGAGTAATAACAGTGTAAAATAAAATTACTTTGGTCTATTATTCAGTCTGATGTGGATTTAGATGAAATTTTTTTAAAAAACTCACATTCAGTTGACATCACTTGCGTCATTTTTTTCATATTCAAATCAATACTCAGTTTAAAATCGTCTAAAATGCTTATTAACAAGTCGGATATATTAGTATTCCGTGGGGCTCCGTAATCATGTACACCAAAGTGATGAATTTTGATTTAGATAACTTATTTTTATATTATATTGGGAATTAAAAAAAATTTATATTGTTAAGTGGACTTGTAGTTAAACACTTTCTTACAATAAAATTATAAACATTAGAAAATTTTATATTTTAAATCACATAAATAGATAAAAATGATCACATCATGATAAAGATTAAAAATAGTAATTTCAAATTTTAGAAAGATAATAAATAAGCAAATAAATTTCCAGAAACTAAAATAAAAACTTGTTCATTTTGTATGTCTTAAAAATATATTTAATTCTTGTTTCAAATATCTTGATGATAATTTTAATATTTACCATAACATTAATTTTATATTATATATATAAAAAATTACATTTTTTATTAAATACGAAATGAAGCATACAAATATGGACACTGAACGAGTTAATCAGTAATATACACACAAACATAAATGTGAGAAACCAAATATTCATTTAACAACTAATACATATCATAAGTTTATAACAATACTATATCATAAGTTTAAAACTTATATAAGTTGCATCATATGCAGAATCCAACTGAAAATTAAGCCAACTGAAAATTATTAAGGAACAATTTAAACCAACCTATAGGCCTATTAAGTATCATTTAAATAGAAGTTTGCAAGTTGCAGAGCCCCTTGGGCACATGGCCAATTGTTGTAGCATTCCAAACTTTTCCCACATATTTAAGCCATGTTGGATTGTCATGGTTTGCAAAGCTCTTGCATGATGCAATATATATTTCACAAATTGCAGCTCACACTCTGTGCCTTTATAATTCATAACAGTGCACCTCCTAAGCTGTGAAGAAATGCATTCGGGAACAAACCGAGGGCAAGCCCAATCCTGAGGGAGAATCCTTGCCATAGGCTTATTAAGGACAAAAGTTTGAAGCTTGGGGCAATGGATAAGTAACTCAAACACCATATACCACTTAATAAAGCTCACAAAGTTAAGCTCAAGGTGAATTAAATTTGGGAACAAAGGAAAGCCATGTCGGTGGTTCGACTGCAAGAGTTTAAGATAGAATAGTTGTAAGTAATTCTAAATGAACAATGTTAATAACACAAAATTTCCCTTTTAAACACCATCACTTATTGTATAGTGAAACAAATATGAATCTTATTAAAAATCTGTGGATCTCATTTCCTTACTAATGAGAAAGTATTTTATCACTTAATCTTTGTGTGACAATAAGACAAAATTTGTTACAATAACTTTTTTTTAATAAAAAGATTCCATTACTCTTAGGCAAAGATTGACGGAAAATAAGGCGAGATCTGGGAAATAATAATTTTCTAAAATATGAAAACATTTTACCAAACTAAGCAAATTTGCCATTTTTGTACATACCTCTAAGAAGAATCGAAGAGATTGCACATTAGACACCACCGTGAGAGGAAACTCAACCCCAAAACTAGTGCCAATATCTACCCTCACCAATTTGGGCATGCTTTGATACCCCAAAATAGTACCAAAATTGACACGATTGGCTCTTAATTCTTCCAGAACAGGACACCCGCGAAGAATCCTGGAGATATACTCAATCCCTCCCACCCTAACATAATCCAAATGTAGTATTTTGAGCACGGGCAAGTCAACAGACTGAAGAATGTCGACACCAACCTGCCATAACTTGAGAACAACGAGGGTTTTGCAATTGAAGACACTGCTAGGCAATGGGAGCGTGAGGGGCATCTCGAGGTGGAGGTGCTTGATGCCACGCTCAATGACAGCCTTTATCCATATGTTGAAGTGGGCCTTTGGGAAGATGTAGTTTGGGCCCACGCGAGTGTTGATGCGTAAGCGTGCAAGCATGAGGGGTTGTTGCACATTGCGCGAAAGGAGGGTGGCATAGGCAAAGTTTAAGAAAGGGGAGTAGATACAGCCGTTTTGAAGATAGGTTTGATCATCTAGGTGGAGATCGAGAGCAGGGACGAAACGCCATAATGGACACCACCGCTTGGAGAGGCGGCTTGTGGTGATGGTGTCACGAGTTGGGAGAAAAGAGAGTATGTGGCACAAGATGCCATCAGGTAAGGCACTGATCCTATCCTCCATTTCCATTTCAAGATTATGATGAGAAAGAAAGGAAAATGGTGATACTAAAAAAGGTAGAAATGGTTGTTCTTGTGGGTTCAATAGTACTTTGTGTAGATATGTTATATAGACAAATTCTTGAGTGGATCATTTAATAAGTACCTTGTAATATGCCGATTCTTCGCTGGACTAATTTATTATGAAATTAATTTGAAACAGATGTAACAAGTTGTAACCAGTTATATTATTTGTATATGTCATCTATTTTTTATATATAAAATTATGATAACGTCCTTTGAAAGAAAAGAAGAAAAAAAAAGTTGAGAAAAAAGGATTCAAAAGTTTAAAAGTAAGGATGAGAATAGGTCAAGTCTTAAACAAGGACCTATGACCTAACTTGTTTAAAATCTAGTCTAACCTGACCTATTTATTAAAAATATCAAATTTAGACTTTTAAAAAAAATCTATTTATTTGAAAAGGTTGAGTTTATGCTTATAAAAAGCTTACTAGACTTGATAGGCCAACCTTACTATATCTTAATACTACTATCCAATATAGTTTTCAATTTTTTTTCTCACTCTTTTATAGGTATAATCATGTCATTGTACATGTTAAATTCAAATATTTCTTATTTTAATACTACTTATATATAATTATAATATAATTGAAGTAATTGTATATATTATAATGAATTTTACTTTGCACATAATGTAGTAATAATAATTATCAAAGAATATTTTTCATTTCCATGGTTGTTTATTTTGAATATTCCAAATGAGATATATGAAATATTTAGAAAGTTTTTTGTTGGATAAGATTATCCTTTTTCATTACATTTATATGTGAGTTGTCCTTGTTATATTAGTTTTTTATTTTATTTTAAATTCTAAATTTTAATAATACTAGTAAAATATCTTTTTATAACACAAATTAAAAAAAAACTTGCATGTGTAATTAAAAATAAATTTGTTGGCTTATTTAAAAGTATGGATATTAATGTATTTAAGAATGTTATTGTAAAATAAGCTTTTAAATAGACTAATTATATGTCATACAAGGCTTTTAAAAATATCAACCCAAGCTTAGGAAAGAATCTATAACAAATAATAGGTCAAATTTATACTTAAATTTATAAAAAAAGGCTAAAAATTTCAAAAAAGAAAAAGAAAAAGAAAAGGTAGAAGAAAGGAGTAAAGAAGGTGCATAGTTCCAAAATAATAGTTCTACACGAGCAAAAAAGGTTGACAATGGAGGAAAAAGAAGGATAAGGATAAGGAGATAAAGTGAGGGGGTCCAACATCAAAGATCGAAGCAGCTAGTGAAAGGAAATATTTTATTTTATTTTTTCTAAAAAGAGAGAAAGGATCGAAGAGACCACCGATCCTTTTTCTCTTTTATAACTTTTCTATTTTTGAATTTTTCTTTTATTTCCTCCTTCATTTTTTTTTCTAATTTTTTTCATTTACAAGTTTGGATGTGTGACACCCTCTGCCTTACATGCATGCATACAATAATATAAAATAATAATTTTGAAAAATACTTCATTCATCAACTAAAACTGTGGACAAAAGGTAACACATTCAAAATCTAGTATCCAAGAACTAAAAACCAAAATAAATAATTACAAGAAATTCATTACACTTTGCAAAAACACCGTGAAAATCAAATAAGCTAAAATTTCGTTTTCAATAAAACAAAAAAATATTTTTTATGCTAAAAATCCTGATGTCACATCCTATTAGACTAATCCCATCAACAATTTAAACTCCTTCAAAATCAAAGTCACCTACATAAACAATCCAAAACAAAACATAAGGAAACAAGGGAGTGAGAATATATCTCACTCCAGCTACCGGTGTAGGAAATGGTCGAGTAGCCTCGCACATACAAAAATACATAACATAATCATATAATTCATATATCAATAATTAACAACAATAAATTAATAAGAATTTATTCGCATTCTAACATTCCACACATCATCACATCACAGTTCAATGTATAAAACATGTTATGCATATGTAAGGACAAAACTCTCTGAGCTACATGCATGTGGGACCAGTAAATCACTTTATTACTACTTGAAGGTTGAGTAGTTTAGGAGTACATGTCAGGTCAAGCAATCACAACACTTTCACTAAAAGGAAATACACCAGTGGCGTATCAAGATAGCTATGTTGACCAAGTTTCACCCCATACACAAAACATGGCATGACTAGGGCTCACAAACCTAGTTATCTCCAACGATCATGGAATCCTCAAGCTTTTATACGAGAAGGACCTTCCCTGATAGCGTATTTCACATCAAACCCATCACACAAAAATAATTTTATGCAAATGATAAATGTCACACATAGACTCTTATGCGCAACCAACAAATTATATTCACATCACATCATATTTCACATTTCACTTCACCGCCAATATTTAGGCTTGTTCACTTGTTTCACTTACACATATCACATGTCTCATAACTCATAGGTTTCTCGATATCATAAAATTTCAATTCTTCTTATACACTATCAATCTTATTGATAGGCACATCACATACCATTCTTTCACTTCACCTTCCATAGATAACTCACGTCTTAATCCAAAAAAATCATGTAATTCCTTAAGCAATACTAAATTAATTAAAGACACAAATTTAGGTACACAAGTTATAGGCATAGGACAACATCTGACATGGGGTGCCCTGCACCCAACACGAATGAGGCCACGAACCTTTGGAAAGATCACACTTGGTGTGTTTCTTCCCATGCCCAGTGAGATCACAACAAGGAGTCCCGTAGAGCTCCCACACCTGGTATAACTAAACTCATGCCCGACATCATCGATGCCACGAGTATTTCAGGATTTTGCACTTGGCGAGTCTAATACGATGCTCGACGTTGTATCCGTAAGGTCACATTTTGCATAATTTGTGTCTTACTCACTACCAGTTTGGAGTATGAATTCATGTAATTAAAGGATATCTATAATATAATTAGTTGATTCTTATACAAGTAATTACTAATAAAGTTGATTTTACAATAATTTTATTTTTATTTTGTTCTTAAGGTTTCCTCCTGAGGAACCCACAAACACTCATAGATTCACAAATAGGGACAATTTCAAAGATCAAAAGCAAAATTATATCATAATAACATGTTTAGAAATCATAGAAGCATCATATACACATCTATATAAACATTGCAATTAACAACAAGAAATTGAGTTTAATCACTCACACAAACAAGATTGGGGCCAATCACGCTACCCAACAGATAATTCACACTCGGAGAGAGGTTCTCACTTTCCCTTACCTTGATGGACACTAAAATCTGGGTTTGGGTTTTTGAGCTCTCCTCTTGTAGCCTTTGGCTGTCCTCCTTCTTCAAATCACAAGATGGATGAATTTATATGATAAAGTGAGGCAACCCTAGTGTTACTAATGAAGTTAGACATGAAACACATAAAAGGGGGGTTGAATATGTGTGTGTGTGTGTAAGAAGGAATTTTAAACCATTTTCGCAAGAATAATGTTCTTCGTCCAATGCACGTTTAGATACCAGACAGTTATGCAGAATTTGCTTAACACAGGGTCATTGCGTCTGAAAGATTTATCATCTGCTGAAGGAAAATGTTTCATATAACAATAATGATTAAAGTTCTTGCATTTTCCTTTTCAAGATACTTTCATTTAAATAAAAACAGTAGATAAAACTCTTCAGTGTATTAAATATATATTAAACAAAGTTTGCGTCTACGTTTGAAAAATGATTTCATTAAGAGATTCAGGGTGGATGAAGTTTTTTCACAAAGGTTTAACCAGTAATGAAGATATACGTCTGAAACATAGGAATTAAAAGTGCAAGTTATTTTATACTGGTTCACTTAGACCGAGCTACGTCCAGTCTTCTTCAACTGAAGGGTTCCACTAAATATGCAATTAAGTACATAAGTATTATCGACCACTTCTGGCCCGTTGACTTCACTCATCAATAATAGTATTTTCTTATCAGCCTCTTCAGGCTAGCAGTGAGTATTATAGACCACCCAAGTCATGACCACTCCTGGTCATGAGTATTCTTGACCACCCAGGTCACGGCCACTCCTGGTCACGAGTATTCTCAACCACTCCTGGTTGGCTAGCTTCACTCACCAGCACTAGTATTTTCTTATCAGCCACTTCTAGCTAGTAGTGAGTATTCTCGACCACCTCCTAGCCCGTCGGCTTTACTCGTCAATGCTAGTATATTCTTATCAGCCACTTCTAGCTAGCAGTGAGTATTCTTTGACTAGCCTCTCCAGGATTTACTAGTATTCTTTTCCTAGCCTCTTCAGGCTTTACAGATGATAGACGTATAATCAGGTTTGAGTGTTTGGGTTGTTAGAAAAGAATGGCTCAATCCAAGAGGGGGGTGGTGAATTGGATTCTATGACAATTAAAATTTTTTCAGAGTTCTAAGGATCTTTATTTCAACTTAAACTTTTCTAATATGAATTCTCAAAGAAGTTCCTTGAAAGACTTGCCAATGGGAATGAGTCCTATATGCTTTCTTGATTAATCTTGATTAAGTTCAATGTTAAGAACAACTAATATGCAACACTTTGATTCAGTTTAAAGCAATGTTATGCATACAAACATATTAATCAAGATCATCCACTTTAACACTCAACCAAGATTTTGCTCAATGTAAAAGATAAGAGTGAGAGAGAAGAATGCACAAGTCTTTTATCCTGGTTCAGCCACTCCACATGTGACCTACATCCAGTCCTCAATCATAACCTGATCAAGATTTGTTCCACTATCTCAATGAAGAAGTTTTACAAGCATACAACACATGCATATACTCCTACATTCAAGATAACCACTTTCTTGCCCCCAAGAAAACACTTCTTGTAGAAACCCACTACAAGAATTCCTTACCACTTGAGACACCTACTCAAGATTTACAATTTTTCACAAAGAATTAAAGGAACGAATTCACCTGGAAGCTGAACAAATCAGACTGTGAATTCAGAAGCAAATCTCAATCTTTCTCTTCCAAGAATGTGATGATGATGATGATCTCTTTCAAAGCATTTCCAAAATGTTTTACTTCTTGGTTTCACAAAGAAAACACTCCAAGAAGGTCACAAAGACTTCACAATAACATTTTTCTCTTTTTGATTCTCAACTCATTCTCTGTTCTGAAGTTTCAAAGTGTAAAAACTATTTATAAAATTTTCAGAACTAG